TATATTATATAATAGAATATTTATAGATACTCCTAAAGAATTGGATTTTCGGTGCATAATTTAGAAGCTTGTTGTCCCGCCTGTATGTTTACGCACGCTTGGCCATTAACGTAGAATTGCAGCCACGCACGATAATAATCATTATAAAGAAAAACTTCTTAAGTTCAAAGACCGGGATAACTGCTTTTGGAATAACCACAAGGGCATTGGACACGTATTATTTTATATAATGCACCGATAATTTTGGTCTTCRGTAGCTCAACTTAACTTGTATATTCACTAAACTGCGAGACGATTGTTGAACCGTAGCAACGGGATTTCTGTAGTTCATTYCCGTATAATAAATGCAAATTTTTTTTCTTATGAAGTCTCACAGGAAATTCAGTTTTTATTTTTCCACTTTCCTTCGTCGGCTGCTCATCGTCCACTTATAGCCATGCCACTTTTCGTTACTACCCCGCAGTCCACGGGTTCCACTAAAAGAAACGGACTCGGTGGCGCATAACGTCATGCCAAAAGTTAAACGCTGAGTTCGGGGAGTGGCGCTCACAAAAGGTCCGGGCTGTTCTGGATTTGTTTGCGGAGCCCGGATGTCGGTCACCGAGTTCCACGGAAATGCCATTATGTAATATTATTATTATGAAAACTTCCACTTGGTCTACGAGATGTGGTTTCTATTATACACTTCCGCAAAGGCAATACCGAAAAGTTTGTACTGGAGAAGAAAAATCATGAAAAGCGTGGCATGTCATTTCTGGTGTAATTTGATCATAAACTTTTTAGATACTATATTTAGGTGTGCGATGAGTGTGTGAGTGATTGTTAATAACGATTCTTCATTTTAGGCGGTTGTGTAAGTGGTTGGGGTGGGGAAATTTCTATCCATTTTYTTTTACGCAACCAGATCATGGTAAGCATTAAGTGAATTTTATTAAATGGACATGAATATCACTATTAGGATAAGGTATACATACTAAGGACAAGGATTGAAGATGAGTTAAGATACAAATATACTTGTTATGTGATTAATAAAATATAATATTTTATTGATTAATTTGTGGGTAGATAGAACAAAAATATATCATTTATTGCATACATCAGGATAACAAAATTTTCCACTGAAATACAGGTATATATAAACAAAATGTGTTATGTAATATGTTATTATTTTTAAATTATATAGTATACAATACTTGTTGTATATAGACTACTTTTGTACATTTTACAATGTTTTTCTATCACACTGTAYGATATCAGATCGAATTATTTTTCCAGTCATGTAATGCAATAGATGGTAGTTACATATAATCTGATGTCGACGCGTGCTATTAATATCACAATATCATATTTTAAGGGAATAATATGTCATAAATTAGGTCGTTATACTGCTAAAGTATATGAAGTACCTTTTGATTTATTCCCCCGCGACATGGTTAAAAGTTTCAACATTTGTTACCAACATTTTTTAGTATGGCATTTCAAAAAGTAATATCATATTACGCATTACACATAGTTTGACATTAGTACATATGCATATATTATACATACAAAAACATCTGTCATTTTGAATTTATTAAAACATTTGGTTAATTTAAAAACTTTAACGATTTCTATAGGAATGAGAAGCATGTCAAATATGATGTAAGTATATTAATCAAATATTTGTAAAAATCAAACAGTGTCTCACAGAATTATGCGTGTGTGAAAAAAAAAAAGATTTTATTACTCTAAGTCGTCGGTGGTGGATTTTTACTTGGAAATACAAGGATGAATTCCGAAGGATTAGTGTCCTCTGTGACGAGTTCATTTGATATAATATTATTATTACCGATGTTTCGATTAGTATAATATGAGTAAATCTACAACGTAACTATGTTGTACATTATTTTTATTATAMCAATAACACTTACCGGCAGCTATCACCTGGTACACGCATGGAACTATTTGTTTGCCAAACTCGTTGCTTGCCCAACACATAAGTGTACCGTAATCGAGTGGCGTCAGCGGCGTGTACGCAGCAATGCTCCGCGATCCCTCCTCAGTGTAACGGTCACGATCCAAGTTGACCGATTCACGTGAGTTGTTGAAACGCCAAGTGTACTGAATATTATCYGATGGGTTAGCCTCTACTTCGCACAGTACTTTAGCAGCCTCACGTCTGCCCACCCCTTGCACCGTCTCCTGACCGGGTCGACATACTGGGGCGACTGAAAATACAAAAAAAAAAAATGATAAATTACTACATATCTACGTAGAAATAACGATTTGTATGGTTTGTAGTTTAAAACTATAGCAAGGACTATCCAGAAATTTTTTTAATATCTTTCAATTGAGTTATATTTTGATTTTTCTTGAGGCAAAATGTAAATTTAACTAAATACTTTTTCGTCCAAGAATTTAAAACTCGGGTCAGAAAAATTACTGATGAGAAAAACGACTTATTTTTAATTTTTTTTTAGGTATAAATTTCTTTATGAACTTCTTGAAATTTATAATATTAAACTTACTGTATAACACAACTTTACCAGTGAAAAAATTATCAAAGAAAAAATACGGTGTTATATTATACTTYATAGGAGTATCTGGATTTTAGTACTCYTCAKCACACGGAGAAATCTGCGTCAGTGTGCCTTGMTTTGAGAAATAATTCTGACCTAGATGGGTAATTCGTCTGTGTTGGATAGAATAATATGTACCAGTTGGTGAAATTTTGAACATGGTTAAAATCACTATCTAAACTTTTCTGATATTTTGTAGAATGATGAGAAATATTCCATCAAGATCAGTCGTATCTAGGTCAGACTATAGGTAATCTAGAAGCATAAATTTCCAGATAAATTTCTACTTTACAGAAAAGTTAATTTTTTTCTGTTGCAAATGAAACACTATGATATGATTTTAAACAGATGTGTAAAATTAAATATTATGTGTTCGGTATTCACCAAGTGCTAGTGTTCGAATACCAAGAAAACTACAATTCAAATACGTAATTTATGTGAACATTTTTGATCAAATTTATTCAAACAACTCAAGTGCATTATATAATTTATAATGTCAAGTAGAATCGGGACAAAGACGCATTGCTTCCACATCGAGGAAAGTTGTAACAACTGTAGTGATGTCGATGGCGGTGACAAACACGGGTGACAAACGAACCGGGTTGGGTTAAAATCTGCTTATTAATTGCCAGGTCCGTCCGTTTTCACCCGTTATTCCGAAAATTCACCACAGCAGTTTATCCAAAATCGTAATTATTGGAACCACGGGCACCCATGTAGAGGACCACAGCATCGGTCACTGACGTCGAATGAAAAGGGTTAGGTAAGGTTTGAATTTAAAGATTTCCAATAAGCGAACACCCTTTGATTTATTTAAATATAAATATAATGTTATAAGTTAGGATTATAACGAAGTAGTAATTTATAATTATTCTTTAAAATAATGAAGTTAATAATATCTCGTAATTTACATTTTTACCATCAACTGAAACTATATAGGTAGTAACAAAAAAAAAATGGTTTTGCTATAATATTATGGATTTTTAAATATTTTAAAATGTCAACTATTTACAAATAATAATAGTAAAAAAAAATATAAAACAGGATTGCTTGTAAATGAAAGGATTATACAATTTAACATACGAATATAAAATTTAATTTTTAAAATTTTCCACTATTTTAAAGAGCTTATAAATAAAGATATTGTATTGATTTTTAACTCATTGATATAATATTTTTATCTTACTTATGAAATTAATGAACTAATCGAACATTAAAATAGGTGTTTTTATTATAATATGTATTATTAATTGTATGAACAATTATTATAGTAAATATTATAGCTTATTTAATTGTTTTAAAATAGTTTTAAATAACGTTATTGTTTTTTTTCTACATTATTGACCATGTTTTTTTTATACTTTTGGATTATCATGACCTCAACCAATTTTTATATATTTTCTGAAAACTTCTGGTATTTTCAAAAAAATGAATAGTTTTATAATTTATTTATATAAAGTGCCATATTGGCTCTGAGAAAATACATGGTTTACGTTATCCCTTGTTAATAAAAGGTTCAAACAAAATAATTTTTTATTTAAATTAATATATTTAATTCCTATTACAGTGAATTAATGAGGGGGGAAGGGTTGTAAACATTCTACTGGTGTTGTGTTTAAAAAATTATTCGGGCTCTTTATATATACAAATTTTAATGTACGCCACTGTACGTCAATATTATACAGTGAAACCTCTAAATACCGGACACTCTCGGTCGTTTAAATGACTTCCGCTATTTGGAGGTGTCCGCTATTAAGAGGGTAAAGACAGTAAGTACACATTTCACCGTTCCCAAAATTCCGTCCGTTATTTGGAGGTGTCCGCTATTGAGAGGTGTCCGMTAAAAGAGGTTTCACTGTAATCACATATTTGTTTTCTTATCGTGTAGTTTTTGAGTTCTATAGTTGTCATGAACCTTGGCTGAAGTGTACGATTACAATATTTCGACTTAGGGCTCATACAATTTGACTTCTTAACATCAAATATGACAAAGCGTGAAGACGATTGGAATTGAGAGAATATATAAACTTGAAAAATCAAGCCGGATTTGTATAAGCTAATTACCATCATGTGTTATTGACTTGAGTGATTATGTTTTAACACCTATTTTTTAAGAGAAGGACATCATCAGTTCAAAACAAACAGATTCTTTCAGATATGGTCTGGCAAACAAATATATCACAAACTTCCAGATTATAATATAATACTTCAGTTTATTGGGAAACAAACCGTTAGACTTAGGGCAAAAAAAAATGTGAAATATGAATCGACAAACAACTTGCAGCCCATTCATAGTTTTTTTATTACTGTTCGAAAATCTAAGCTCAGCGATAACATTAAATGTCATCGTAGTCAAATAGATGTATTTTTAAACTATCGTTTCTTTTTTTTTTTAGTTAGACGTTGACTTTTTACTAAGTATTATTCACCCTTTAAAACTTTGTACGAGAAAACTTTTGAATGAGCAATCGAATTAGGTTATAAAACGATCGTAAATGAAGAGAGAGCTTAACGGTTGAGTTATTTTTGTATCCGACGCGTTCTGAAATGTGAAATACATTACATTACTTTTCTCAGGACAATTGGTACGGCTCCTAAAGTGTGATCTGAGAGGGTAAAAATAATAAGTACATAATATTTTCCGTTTTGTTTTATGAATAATATCACTCACCACGGGAAAGCCCGTTAACAAAATATTAACAACTAATGTACTTTTATCCCAGCTTTTTTTATCGT